GAGGGGGCGCTGGGGGTGCTCGTCGGGCTAGCAGAGCCCTTAGTGCCGCACCAGGGGTCCCCCAGCGCAGGGGTAACCCCCCCTCCCCCAAGGGAAACTGCAGCAGGCCCTGGTGTATACACATATATATATATATATATACGTGAATATATTATATAGGGATGAGTATATATGGATTATATTCCTCTATTCCAGTAAGTCTAGGGACTCTGAGGACTTCAACAGGAGGAGCGACCATCCGACAAGCCCTCATACCCAAATCGCCCAAGCACACTACTGGGAGTCTGCTTGCAGATTTAGAGATGCGGGATACTCATCGGCGAAAGCAGGTGACCTTGTGTGCTTCTTCCCGTATTTGCCGTCATTAGTCATCTATTTCCGGGAGGGATGCATTATTTTTTCAGACACCCCACATCTGCTGAGCCACTCAGACGAAGCAACGCGGTCGAGGCACTGCCCACACCGCTGGTGCAGCACAAAGACCAAGAGCATCACACGGAAGCTTTTGTTGCGAAAAGTAGGGGACAATCAACTGCCATGTTGCTCAAGAGGCCAGGGCGAGTTGTCCAAACGATGGTCTCTTGTTAATTTACCCGGTTTACCCACATATTAGGGGCAAAAAAACCCAAAATAACTTTCAGAACCTACCCAATGCTTCAACCAAGCTCCTGCCTCTCGAACTCCTCCTCTGTAACTTCATAGAAAGGAGTTTTGGCCTGAACGGAGTCCAGGCTCAATCAACCCAATACTGGTCAAGCTAGGGGTGTACAGGGGTATGTGGGGTACAAACTTTTCATATACATCATAATATAATACTAGGCCCGGAACATAATACAATTACATAATTGTTTAAGAGGATGGTAGAACTAGGAGGAAAGTCCTGACACGTTGCGAATATTTTGGCACGGAGCACTATGCCAGAGTCTTTGTCCGGCTGTGGGGCTTTCGCTGCCCAAAGACCGCAGCACATCTGCAGGGAAAGTAAGGGCACGAGACTTGCCCTGCGAAACGATGGGAGACTTCAGAAACGAAGCGGTAGGCTGCCGATTGCTACAGTGGAAGTGGCAGACCACAGAGAAATCCGCATCCATGGCAGGCCTCAGCTCACAACAACAGTGCAAATATTCTATTTGGGGATACACCCCAAGAATGGAGAATCAAATGGAAAAGAAAATGGAAAATGAAATAGAAGCTGGGATTCTATAAGGGTTATATTTGGGGATAAGAAGAATACTAGTAATAACAATACATACGAATACCACTTACACAAATCGGAGAAAGAACTGATAGTAAAAGTCATGACAGGCGACCAGCAAACGCCCTTCAAGACAAGCATTCTCGCTCCAAGCACCACCAAACAAAGCCTTCCAGGGACTACCTTGGACTACCCTGGACCTGAGCATCTAAGTGCCGACACGGTAACAGTTGAGCCTTGGTTTTGGGTAGCTGAACCAAGTATGATTATATTCTTCATTTAAAGTACTATACTCAAAAGGAGGATAGAATCTTACTCTATATTGTTAGGGTTATATTGAGGTTATATCAGGTTATATCAGGATTGTATTGGGGTTATATTAGGGTTATATTCCGGCTATATCAGAGTTGTAGCATCTATAATGGCCCCGAATGAAATACCACTCAATTGAGCCCAAGGTTCATTCGGGGAAGGTCCAGCTGGGACCTATGCAAGCAGAACTCTGCCGAGACATAGCCGGTATTCAGCCAAAATGCGCAGAGTACCTGGCCATGGAAGCACCCCTATACTGTAGGGTTTAGGAGTTCAGGGTTTAGGGTCTAAAGCCCAGTATCCCCCTTAGTAGCCGTATAATGCTCCCCTATCTACTCCCATATATAACCCCCTTGAACAATTTAAGACAGTAGCTCATGTGAGCACTCGGACATGTAGATGGGTTATGCAAGGCATAGTCAGGACAGGAGATATGGGAAATTATGATGGCGGGGCACCGTGGCTCAGATCACCAGCTCAGGCCCTTGACGGATGAACAAGCAATCTCAAAAGAGCATCAATCAACGCTAGCAATGACTTACTGTTTGCAATAGCTACTTTGCGCAAGCGCTTGTGAAAGTTCAGAATATACGCTGTCAACTATCTCATCTAGCATTCTAATAGCTACCTGAATGTAATGGAGGGTTTCCCGACAGCAAGACCCCTTGTATGCACCCACCAAGGTCCATGAAGAACAACCCGTGATAATTTTGAGAAATCCCCATGGGGAGCCTTCTCAATGCGACGACAGCCGCAGAGCTCTTCCCATGAAGTTCCTGTTGAATGTCTTCAGGTCTAGGGCTACAGGGTTTAGGGTTCAGGGCTTAGGGCTAAGGGTTTAGGGCTCGGGGGTTCAGGGCTACAGGGTTTAGGGTTCAGGGCTTAGGGCTACAATGTCTTGAGTTTGGGCTTTAGGCCTTGGATTTAATCACTTGTCTGGATATGGAGGCCATAGTCTAGACTCATATATGCAGGGAGGCCTAACTTTAGAGAGACTATAGGGCTTGTATAATAGATGGGGGCATATAGGGCTTAGGGTTGATAGGGTTTTGGGTTTGAGTCTGCGAGACTCCATCATGTTGACGAATTTCTTGCTAACCGCGCAAAATGTAGATAATGGTTTTCCATGAATAGGGGGACCCCAATATAGACTCAAAAATACTATAATCCTCTCGTACGGCCCCCCCCAACCGCACCCCTAATTTTAGGAAACCCCCATATCCAGCTTCGCTGCTTACACCAACTGGGCCTAGCTCCCACTGCCGTCACCTGAAAACCGACGCCTACAACAATCAAGGAAATATAGTAGAATTTCGTATAATATAGTAAAATATAATAGACTATAATATAATATCGCATAATATAGTATAATTTAAACTTAGCAAACAATAGGTTATAGTAGCTTATAGGAAGTTCCTATCCCAAGCCCGAAATCTTTTTTGGCCCAAGGAGCTCAGCGTCACCTGGAGGTCTGCCGGCAGATCCTCCGGCATACCCAGGTCAATAACCTGAGGCACAGAGCAAGCGTCTAGGGATGTCTGGGGTTTAGGGTTTAGGGCTTAGGGTTTAGAGTTTAGGGTTTAGAGCTTCGGGTTTAGGGCTTAGGGTTTGGGTTTAGGGTTTGGGGTTTAGGGCTTCATGTTTTTGCTTTTTGGGCCTAAGGCTTGGTGGCTCCTGGTGGTAACAAAGCCTTGGCCCGACCTGAAGCATCTTACAGAACAACTTGGGAATCACGGTAATGTAGACCCATGATTAATAAACCCCCTCCCCTTAAGAGGGATTATAGTAGGGATCCTTATATTAAGGCCCTTAAAAGGCGGGGGTTTATTAATCATGGGTCTACATCAGCATAGCATGCTGAGATGTAGGACTTACAGTATCAGCGGTATGGCCACTACTCGTAAGAAGATGACTGCTGTTGTCCTACGTAGGAACTTCTTGCTACGGCAACACAGCAATACTGATGGCTCAGCGACATGGAACGAAAGGCAGGTGGGCGGATGGATACATCCATTAGGTTCTTCTAGCTTATGAGAAGGTCATAACACCTTGCACTCCACTGTCTCGTTTTCAGTAGGGAATGAAAGAATGGATCCCTATAGCAGTACCTGATAGCAGTTCCCCTTGCCCATATTCCCGAAATTCCCTATGACACTAACCACCAGCAGGTGGTGGTTTCCCAAAATTAGGGGTACCATTTTGGGGATCCCCATAATAAGGATTATAATATATTGGGGTCTATATTGAGTCCCCTTAGCCCCTAGACCAAAAACTCTAAACCCTAAACCCCTAAACCCTAAACCCTAAAACCCTAAACCCCGAAACCCTAAATCCTAAACCCCTAAGCCCCTANNTAAACCCTAAACCCTATTCCCTTCTACCAGGTCCAGGTAGCCACAGAGCCCTCCGAAAGTCGGCTGGCAGACTCAAGCTCCGAGTCGCTTTCAGCCTTGCCATCAAGTGAGGTATAGTCCATAATGCTAGGGTTTAGGGTTTAGG